GACAGGCCTCTGGCTTTGGCGATGGAGAACAGGGAGGGGAGGGAGGTGGCCGAGAGACTTAGATGAGCTGGGACTGGAGGAGGTGAGCGAGAGAGGTGGGCAGAGGAGAAAGGTGGGAATTTTAAACGCCTTGCTCTAAATATTCCCCTTCTGGGTATTCAAGAAAGGCAAATAAAGATCTTGAGTGACTCAGATGTTTAGCAGCGCTACCCAGAGCCTGGGATAGAGGCGTATGGGACAGGGACTTTACTCAAATCTCCGTAGGGAGTAGCGGGCAGCCACGGCTGTCAGGTGGCTGTTTCCTGCCCCAGGGCGTCGCCCAGTGAGCGGGCCCCTCCACGCACTGTGTCCCCTCTCACTTTCCCATCCTACCTGTGGCCTGGGAGCCCCAGGGGGCCTGAGGGGCTTTCTGCCATGGTTGAGGGCAGTATGCTAGGCGCCCCGCCTTCAACTCACCACATTTTTTTTTATCAGATGCCCTACCCCCAATAGGAAGATTTTTTCAATGTTTAAAATATAGTCAATTTTTACTATATTTACTTTTTTTCCCCACTACGTTGGCCATATAGAAAGAACATAGATCCCCAAAACTATGATGTGCTCCCTGGAAGGAGGCAAGGAATGAAGGAGGGATTATTCACGTGGCCCAGAGACGCCGCTCCTCCTCTTCTACTGAAGGATCAGATATTTCCATTTTCCTGAGCCCGCCACCGGCTCCCTCACACCCTCTTGTGACCAGGGACGTGGGTGCGGTTAGTGGCAGCTGAAGGCCTCCAGCTTTGGGGTCTGTATACGGATGGAGCCGCTGGCCTGGCCTCCTGGACACTGTGTTTCTCAACCAAACTGTCCTCACGGAGGGGATCTGCCAGGCGCACAGTCCTCATGCATTCCTCTAGCTCCACAGAGGAAGGGGAGAAGGGAGTGTCCTTCCATGGAGGGACCGGCTTTCAGATCAACCAGCACCATTTCTGGAAAGGACACCTGGCAGGATCAGTCCTGTCTGAGGACAGCAGAACAGGCTAAGAACCCGGCAGACGGGTCCTCCACCTGCGGTTCTAAGAGGGAGCATGTGGGGGAGTACGTGCGGCACCACCCCTCCTGGTACGTTTCCCAGGCACCTGGTTCATTTGGTCATTGAATCAAACAGTGACAGAAAGGGAAAGACCTGTCTTAACTCTGTAGTAAATTCGCCCTGCTGCTCTCTGTGATAGGATAACAGCCCCCAAAGGTGTTTACATACACTCTTGAGAACCTGTGATTACGTTACTTTAAGTGGCAACAGGAACTTTGCAGATGTGATTAAGTCAAGAACCTTAAAATGGGGAGATTAACCTGGATTATGCAGATGGACCCAATTAATCACAAGGGTCTTTTTTTAGTGAAAGGAGGAGTCAGGAATCAGAAAAGGATATGCGCCTACAGAAGAAGTGTCAGCGCAATGCAGCATAAGAGAGAGTCGACTGGCCAGCTGGCTTTGAAAATGGAAAGAGACAAGCCAAGGGACACAGAAGCTTCTAGAAGCTGGAAAAGGCAAGGAAACGGATTCTTATCCAGAGCCTCCAGAAGGAATGCTCTTCATGTTAGCCCTGTGAGATCCATTTCAGACACCTGACCTCCAAAACTGTAAGATAATAAATCTGTGTTGTTTTCAGCCACCACATTTGTTATATTTTGTTACAGCAGCCACAGGAAGCTAATACTCATTCCCCGGAAATTCCTGTGCTTCCCATGGCCAGGAACAAGACCTCACTCCTTCCTTTGAGGCCCAAATGACAGTGCTTTGCCCATGCAGTGCTTCATAAATGTTTGTGAGGTTAATCTGAATCTACTTGACCTTTCTCTATGAAAGATCTTGTTCAAGTCATTCACTCGCCTCTATACACGTAATCACTCGGGACTTAAAACTGCGTGTCCTCTTGTTTTTTATATTAATGTACCTGCCTTGGACTAGAAGCTTCTTGAGGGGAAAGACCCGAGCTGTCCACCTGGCACGTGTTCTAACACAGGACCATGCACTGTGAGCCCAGGTCCCCTCCAGGGGTTACTCGGTGACATGAAGCCAGAAGCAGGACAGCTTCAGGAGGAAGTGGGGAGGGAGAAAAGAGGCAGAGGGCACTGCAGTTCTTCTGAGGAAAGGTTATGGAACTAATAAAAGCTGGGAAGGACCTTCCCTGACCCCAGT